GAAATTTGCCATATAAAATACAGCTTCTTTGAACAGTTCTACTGCTGGCGACGGTGGTTGACTTGACAAGCGCGGGTTTCAGTTTCAATTCAAACATCGAAGTTGTGCTGGAACTGAGTGAGTTTTCGCTGTGGTCTTGGGAAATATACTGGGAATATTTGCATTAATTCTTTTAGATGTCGATTAAAACTTGAAAATATATCTTAAGGACCTGCTGGTTCAGAAACTTCAGTGTCTTTAGGCTTCACAATCATAATGAAGTCGCAGAGATGTCAGAGATGTATTCGTTCAGCTATTTGCTTTCGGTCTCTTGGAATACTCCGATTTCGAGTTCTGTTTTGCTCTGTGTTATCCTCAAAACCAAGTAACATATTCTTTTGTTTCACTCTAGCTCGAAAAACCGCATGGAATTTGTAAAGAAAGACACTAAATTTGATTTGAAATCTCACACTTTTACGCTCACAATAAGGAATATTTTGCGCACAAATGAGGCTAACACAGAGCATTGGAGAAATCGAAACTGGAGTATTGGATTTCTTTGCTTAAGACTTTTTCTCTCGGCGGAAATTCATCGAGTTAGCATTTCATCACTCGCCGTTTTAGCTGTTGAATTTCTGTTTTTCTCCTCACAATATTAGTTGTCAATTCACTTTCTAAAATGCCTTGTCTCTAGTCATAAGAAGCTTGAAGTTGTTGAATGAATTCCGTGGTACGTTTTCACAAGTCTTTCCTTATTGGACGAAACGCTTTTCGCACGTGTGAGAAATTCGTTTCGCTCCTATGATTGGCTATATTTTGAAACGGATTTTCAAATAGAAATATATGTGAGAAAATCTCAGTATGTATATAATAAACATCCTTTTGTCACGACTTGTGGAATTATAACAATAAAAAGAGTTCAGCTTCTCTCTATTACCAGGTACGCAAAATTGTATACCATGTGAATTATTGTCTGATTGACATCGTACTTCTTCTTGTGTCATGAAATAAACATGGCGGACCATAACGGTTTATTGAGATAAGCTGAGATAGAAAACCCCTGCGGCTGATCGCACAGCGTCGCGGCGGCCAGCATAAAGACTCCCATAAATCGATGCAGAAATATCTCGACAGCCWCGCTCTTTTTTTAAGGTCAAGCAAAATATCAACATAACAGAATAAATTACTGACCATTGGCCTTAGACATGTCCATTCATCACAAATATTGACTTCAAGACACTTCAACTCATTCTCTTTTCATGTAGTATGTTTTAATTTCTCGTAAACGTCTTCGAAGCATATCAAAATCTTCAATTCCTATACTATTTGCTCGGAATCGGTAAACACAAAACGATGACGTCATGCCGTTGATAGAAGGTTTCCTGATTTGGAACTATTCCGGACTGTACCAACTGCAGTAGCTTGAARCCAGAGGAAGATAATCCTAAAAAAAAACTAAACATTTGTGTGGAGATGCCAACAATTCAATATATTTTTGCTATTTCTGTTCGCTTTTTTCTCCATTAATAATGGTTAATCATGTGGATGGCCTTTTTTGAAATTAATACCATGTGAAAATGTAAAGATAAAAAAAAATCGTAATATCATGTCGATCAGATTTCAAATTCATTTAACCTTTAACCTGTTTAATGTATTAATGTAGCTTTTGAAAAACAGCTCTGAAGTCTTCTAATTAGGAGCTTAAAAACAAAATAGTTGCGAACAACAGACTTATCAGTACATTTGTGTCTGCAGTTTGAAAGACCAGACGTTTTGGAATGCTGGCAAGTGCCTTTTGAAAAAAATGTTAATGATTGTGAGTCCAAAGTAAGCGAAAATGACAATACTTCAAATGGTAGGTGTCAAAATCAGTTAAAAAAATAATAATATTCTGTTTTTCAAAACCTCTGAATAGCGCACTGTGAATATAATTAGGTGATAAAAAATAATATTGAAAGTGCCCATCAGATCACTAATTTTGAGTCTTTAGTTTCTTTATGGTTTAATGCTGATTATGTCCAAGTATTTTTTTCGGTCGCTCTAAGCCTGAGTATACCAAATTTTAAAATTCAATGATATGAACTTCTGAACAAAAAAAATCCTTAAATTGAATGACGTATTCTACGTGGAAAAGTTGAGGATATATTTTAAAAGTTTCATTTATACTTTGAAACTCTATTTTCCAATGAAATTTTTCTAAGCAATTTCTAARGGCAACATTAAGGAGAGTATGAGTGAAAATGCGCAAATTGTAGTTTCTGTAGTAAAATGGATTAATCATGTAGATGGCCTTTTTTGAAATTTTAATTCAAAAAAAACATCAATCAAAGATTAAATCTTTTTCGATTTACAAGTGCAAGTGCATTTGTAACGATCCCAAAAAACTTTATCCCTATCAGATATCATATTCATTTAACCTGTTTAATGTATTAATGTATTTTTTGAAAACAGCTTTGAAGTCCTCTAATTAGGCACTTAAAAAAATAGTTGCGAACAATAGACTCACCAGTAGAGTTGTACTATATGTGTTTGCTCTTTGAAAAACCAAACGTTTTGGAATGCCTTCGGAAAAAAAAATGTCTCTTATAATTGTGTTTTAGAGTCCAAAGTTAGCGAAAATGCCAATATTTCAAAGGATAGGTGTCAAAATAAGTTTTAAAAACTTATGATATTTTGTTTTTCAAAACTTCTGAATAGCGCAGTGTGCATAGAATTAGAAGGTGGTAAAACTTCATATTCTTGGTGTGCACGTTACGTCATCACCGCCATGTTGGATGATAATCACAAAGCATTCTTCATTAGTTTCTCTTGTTCATTCATCCATCATGGCGGCGATAGCTTTGTTCTTTATTTCTCAGGGGATTTCTTGTCATGTGCTTGCACACCAAGAATTGGAGGTGGACATCAGATCACTAATTTTAATTTTTTAGTTTATTGGTGGAATACTCATCGATTATGTACAAGTGATTTTTTCGGTCGCTCTAATCCTTACTATGCAATATTTTAAAATTTCAATGATATGAACTTCTTGACGAAAAAAAATATCAAGAAAGAAGAAAGTATAATACCCATATCCATACATTATAATTTTCTTGTTAGACATCGATATATAGKATATGAATGTTTTATATTCATTTTTAAAATTGTTTTAAAGGCATACGCGAGAACTTCATTCGTCAGCATGAAATATTTGTCACCTTTGTTCCGACTTTATTTAAAATTGCATTCATTCAACACGTTTATCTTTACCTTGGACGGTGCAATATCTTTCTTTAGATCAACTTAAAGACCTGCCTTGAAGCATTGATTCAACTATCAATATGGAAACTTGCAAATGGAGCTCGTTTATTTCAAATGGGAGGCATCATGATACCACCTGGWCAAGTGCTWCTAACTARCGTGACRCARTMMYATTACGGTAATGCCCGTATGATAAACTGCATCGAAAAATGTGGRGACATCTCTACATGTCAYAGTATAAATTGGTACAGAGATCTGGGCTTGTGTCAGCTGAACAACGAGACTCATCTGTCTTATCCTGAGGGTTTTGCTCCAAACTCAACTGGAGATTACATGATTTATGGAGTTCATCCTATGACAACATGCAGCAACAAGATGTGTGAAGAACCAAGAGTTTGTTTGATGGAGGAAGGTGGACTTCACTTTAGATGTAAAGGTGAGGTCATGTTGAATGGATCGAGGTGCCGCATAATTAGCAAAATAGATTTAATTTCTTTTACCAGATAATTGTACTGCGGTATTGGGAATGCAAGATGGCCGAATTAGAGATTCTCAGATTAGCGCATCGTCATCGTGGAACAGCAACCACGGACCTCCAAAAGGTCGCTTGCACTCGAGTGCAGGCAGTGGGAGTTGGGTCGCGGCATCCTYGATTCTTCCACAATATCTTCAGATTGACTTCGTGAAGTCACATATATTAAGCTTAGTGGCCACACAAGGAAGAGAAATCGGTTTTTYTCAGTGGGTAAAGAAGTATTACCTCATGTTTGCCAAAGATGCTYTTGAATGGGAAGCATACAAATATGGAGGTAGTTTGAAGGTATGAACGACATTTCCCTATCGACAATATCGTAGAAATGCCAATGGACCTTTTATTTAAAAATCCACCATATCGATTGGCAATCAAGAATGAATTCACTTAATTTCTCCATATTTACTGTTCAGCGACCATTGAACCGAGTCTTCAAGTAACTCTGAGCACATATATTTTCTTTTATGACCATCGTACATTTGCATGATGACAGCTGCTTTCATTTCAGGAATTCCAGGGMAACGTGGACGCGTCGTCTGTTGTTAYTCACAAGCTCGCATTACCAATTAAAGCGCGGGCTATTCGATTYATGGCTCTAGAGTGGCATTCTAACATCGCAATGAGAGTTGAGGTGTACGGTTGCTTGCCTTGATAGTAAACAAAACATACAACAAKCATTATTCAGACATCAACTAGTGATACATTAAGACTAACTTACACGACGGGTACAACTTTTCCTTACAACCATCGCATGTAAACTGCGTAACTCACCCTTACAGCATAGCTACCACTGTCATTGCGCTATTAAGCAATTGTCTTAAATCCCTACGACAGGAAAACTTTGAACCGTGTAAGTTGGCCTTTAGGAAAACCATGCAATAATCAATACATGACAATTCAGCCCCATGCCATATTAATGCCATATTTAATGAATCTCATTGTATACATGCAAAAGTACTTTTATCAAACCACAACCTCTTAGCCATTGACTGTATCGATTCCCCTTAAATAGTTCTCATACTGCACTCTTCAAATAGATTTTAATGCAGATTTGCACAGAAAGGAAATTCACACACCAAGGACTTTACTATTATGCACCATTTTAGCTTTATTCATTACTTCAGTGAGTCAGTGTCTTTAAAGGAACATGTTATTTATTAATATNAATTCACTTAATTTCTCCATATTTACTGTTCAGCGACCATTGAACCGAGTCTTCAAGTAACTCTGAGCACATATATTTTCTTTTATGACCATCGTACATTTGCATGATGACAGCTGCTTTCATTTCAGGAATTCCAGGGMAACGTGGACGCGTCGTCTGTTGTTAYTCACAAGCTCGCATTACCAATTAAAGCGCGGGCTATTCGATTYATGGCTCTAGAGTGGCATTCTAACATCGCAATGAGAGTTGAGGTGTACGGTTGCTTGCCTTGATAGTAAACAAAACATACAACAAGCATTATTCAGACATCAACTAGTGATACATTAAGACTAACTTACACGACGGGTACAACTTTTCCTTACAACCATCGCATGTAAACTGCGTAACTCACCCTTACAGCATAGCTACCACTGTCATTGCGCTATTAAGCAATCGTCTTAAATCCCTAGGACAGGAAAACTTTGAACCGTTCGTAAGTTGGCCTTTAGGAAAACCATGCAATAATCAATACATATATTGCAAATTGAAACTCACAGGATCAATGCCAATATCAAAATTATAAAATTTTTAATTGCATGGTTTTTCTTTGATCGAGGATGCGAATTCTCTGTAGATTTATCAGTGAGCTTATCGAGTTTATACAATCAATTGCAATAAGGTTTTCGATTGAGATATGTGCATATATGCAAGATTCATAATAGTTTTCCTAATAAAATTTCAAAAACTAATGGGTTAAATGAATGTGTTGGAATATGGCAACTGCGCTCTCTCAAACATCTATATTCAAAACCATTTTAAACCTGATCATTGTTGGCATTTTCACACATGGGATCACATCGGTATAAGGTGCTGTTCGTAATATTTTGGTAGTACTTTTTGCCCTAAATTCAGTTACATGAAGTCTTTAAATGTACTTCTTCACATGACATTAGGTACACTGTAAATCGAAAAGAGCTGCTTTGGACCCAAAAGCCAAAACAGCCCAAATGTAAAAAGGCAAATCAGTCCCTAACGTGGACATTTTGTGGTTATAAGTGCTAAACTAGCACTATGTAAAGCTGTCTCGGCTCTACTGAAAACCAATACAGCCCTACGATTTTCCGATGTGACTCCATGAAGAGTCGTTTTGACCCCAAGTTTCATAAGACAATTCAGCCCCATATGAACAATTCGACCCCGTAGAGTCAATTTGACTTCACTAAGTCAATTTGGCCCCTTAGTATACACTCAACAATTCAGCCCCATAAAGAGAGTCAGCCCCATAAAAAATTCAGCCCCATGCCATAATAATGCCATATTTAATGAATCTCATTGTATATATGCAAAAGTACTTTTATCAAACCTCTTTGCCATTGACTGTATAGATTCCCCTTAAATAGTTCTTATACTGCACTCTTCAAATAGATTTTAATGCAGATTTACACAGAAAGGAAATTCRCACATCAAGGACTTTACTATTATGCACCTTTTTTTAGCTTTATTCATTACGTCAGTGAGTCAGTGTCTGTAAAGGAACATGTTATTTATTTGTATATAATTTGATCACATCATATTCTGTGCCAAATGTGTCATGATGGAACACGTGAAATGAAAACGCATGGACATACCTTCGTCAGGTGGTCATTATTAATTATCCATTTCACGTTTTCACGYCACTTTCACGCCCTGATCCTTGAGTTCATTAGTGCCTTGTGAGGTGCTCGTTTGGAATGTTCATAGTGTACATAATATTATTTGCTGGAACACACGTTTCCCTCAGGTATTTTAAACAATGATCATCAGTTGATATTGTGATCTTTTGTTTATACCTGTACATTTCTAAGGAATTGNGCCTCGGACTGGAACTAATTGCGCGGACTTGAAATCCCGTCCAGTCCTCATTGTCGGACTTGAAATATTACATAATTTGATCACATCATATTCTGTGCCAAATGTGTCATGATGGAACAAGTGAAATGAAAACGCATGGACATACCTTCGTCAGTTGGCCATTTTTAATTGTCCATTTCACGTTTTTTTTCAGTTTTTGTTTAGTTATATATTAAATCAATGGTAGATAGCATTACTGAAAAAAATCCTTCCACAACAAATAATATAAGAACTTAAACATGAACTTGATGCATGAAACATGAACTTAATGCATGAGACATGAACTTAATGCATGAAACATGAACTTAATGTATGAAACATGACACGACATGAACTTAATGCATGAACTTAATGTTAAGAACTTTTAAGTTAAAAGCATGAACTTAATCCATGAAAAGAACACATATAAATCAACATTCCGAAGAGAAAACTCCCCACTGGGATGTTCAAAACAAAGAAAAGTCAAGCTTGAAGGGCTACGTTCCTGTGATTTGTGAGATTGTTTACATTATTTTGCCCTTTCAGAATGGCGGATTTAGTACCATGCGACCATTCTATGCAATAAGCCTATTCATGTTTAGAATTTCTTTGTACGCAGGCATATTCTAAAAATAAATGAGTCCTCTGCGTTTACTACAGACTAGTAACGAGGTATATTTTTTTGCTGTTAATCCGGATCAAAAGGCTAAAAATGTGATCCCGATCCCAAAACTCCGTACATTTTGATCCCTGATCCCCTTACAGAATCGCTTAAAAAAATCATTGATCCCGATCCCAGTTGACTAAAACCTTTGATCCCAGGTTAATTACATTTGATCCGGATCCTGAGCCTAAATCCTGATCCCTGATCCCAAAATAGCCCAAACACTGACGCTGATCCCTGATCCCAATACCTCGTTACTAGCCTGTTTACTAGGCCGAAAGCTCGGTATTAAAAATATCACTAGTAAACGCAGAGGACTCATTTATTTTTAGAAGCCTATTCATGTCTGAATGAAAATTATATAATTATTTTGTTCGGAGTGTCTAAACGTCAGGCAGCCGGACGTTTAGTCCCAGAGCTAAACGTCAGGCAGTCTAATTATTTATTAAAAAATCGTCGGAATAACAGTATTTTTAATTAATTTTTAACTAAACATCAGACCACTCACACTATGCTGGGTTGGATCAAGGCTATAGGGGTGAGGTCTACCGGCGACGTGTGATGTTTTGAGTCTGCCAAGAAGAATTAACCGAGTTAGGCATCCATCAACAAGGATGGCTGGTGGTTCTTCGGCACAAAGAAGATGTGAAATAAATTTGTCAGATCCTGCTGTTTATCCCCACCATTGCAGGCCAGTGTTTTGATGTATCCACAGGAAAGTAGCCTATCTACCACCCAAATGGAGTCTTAGAAAAGAGAAGGAATCAGTAGCAGGGTTACAGGTAGCTTCTGGGTCAGCAGCTACCATACAGGTGTCTGTGGTTGGCTGGAAACCTTGTCGGGTKAGTTAGGTGGTGAGTTGGGGGTGAGTTGGCCCAATCTAGAGTTCAATTTTCGTGGCAGCAAGGATAAACAGCCTTTCACTGTCTCATCAAGTACTGTCACACCCAAACTCCAGAAGGCTAGACAATCGTAAGCCTTATTGCTTGGTTACAACAGTAGTATAAGCCAATTTCTTCTTGAGGGTTTTCTGTTAGTTTTCATATTAAGGACGTTCGAGGGCATTGCTACTGCGCACGCTTTCTGCGCACGCCCAAACCGGAAGTTGTCACGAAATTGCATCACGCAAAACAAAGATGNAGTGAGGAAAGCTTGACAAAGACTATCAATTCTTCCTTAATGCTAAGTACATTGCTTCTGTTATTGTTTTTCATTCAAGGAAATATTTTTTGCTTCACCCTTTTGATAGTATTGATATTAACTTTATTAGGGTTCAACACAGTCCAATTTTATTCTTGGAGAACATTGAAATCCAATATGACTCAACTACTCGCGTTGTCCTTAAAGCACAACAAATGTAAAATGTTTTTATACGCAATCGACTGAATTGCTCACTCAAGTCACAAAAAAGACGACTTGTTTCCATAATATTTTACTCGCTCGAATTACTATATTGTTACAGTTAACCATTAATGAATTTTTACGTATAGTTTAAAACACGAGAGAGAGTGTTTTATCAGGTATAAAGATTCGAGCCGAAGGCNAAGCTAAACATAGCCCTGGGATTGTAGATATTAAGCTTACAAAAGAATGAGAGGAAGAATTTCTGGTCCTTTTCTAGCTCCTACATTGCCTAATTTTCGAATTTCTCAATTAGAGCTTGTGACTATGAAATCTCCCTAGGGGATTTTAAGTTAAAGATGGTATACTCTGAGAGTTTTCTAGTGTTCACTATGAACTATTGATGACGCTATTTGTTGTATTAACAAAGCTGGCGTTGGTTTATTTTAAGCCAAGACTAATATAAAGCATGCCTTTCGAATCATTCAATTGCACACTGGGACTAGCCATTTGTTAGGAATGCAGTGTGAAGGGTCCTATTACTTATAATAAGTGCATGCCAAAGGGTTGTTCCAGTTCTTGCAAAAAAAGTTGGGGCTTTCATCACTGCTTTGGAGTGGATTGCCGAGCATCA